TTTACATATCACTGGAAGGTGGTCGCTCCCGCAGTCAGCAGTTGCATATGATTTGCAGTGTAAAACTGCATTCCTGAATCTTTTATTTATAGTTATATAATCGATTTGGTTGTCCCAGGTAACATCAACATAAAAGGTACCTAGAAAATTGCCGTACAAGGAACATCCCATATACTAAGAAAAGTACTATCAATTATTCGATACCTCCCATAGAGCCTGAGGAACATAGTATGGACCTGGCTCTACAGGATACAAAGTAGGAAGCCAGCACACAAACAACAACAACAATAATAATAATAATGTAAAATAAGAAAATAGCGCGATTTAAAAAAGAAAATGTTTAATAATGTTCAATAATATTTTGATAGTATGTCTGTCTTTTTCAAGTTGTATCAAAAAGATTTTTTACAAGTATAAAATATGAAATAAAAAAAACTTAAAAAAAAGCCTTGTGCAAATATTGTGTTTGTGATGGTTGTAATCATCGCGTTAAAATAACTGAAAAGTCCCATGTAAATTTCCACATTAAATCCTCAAGGCGACCCATATGATTGGGCAATTTTTGACCTAGCATATGTTTTGAAATAGTCAAAAGGAAATTCTCCAGAAAAGTTTTCTTTGACCAATCCAAAATGAGGTCTCATTTTCAATTTTGTCTTGAAAATAATAGATCTGTTCCTTCCTGAAAATTAAAATTCATCAAATAACAAAATTTACAATAGACACAACTAAATCCTTACCACTGACTCGAAAATGGATCGATCTTACAAAACCTGCTAAATATTCTCATAACTTATATCGGAAACTGACATAACAAATTCCGATATGAAACAAGTTCCATGTTCTCAGTGAAGAATACCAGAAAGTATCGAAACTCAACAGACTACAGTATCTTTAAGAAATAATATACAATTCCAATAATAAATTTGAAAAAAAAATTCGAATTCACCGGAAAATGAGGCTGTAATAAATTTATTAAAATTGAAGGTTCCATCAAATGAAATTCCTGTTTTAGGACTTGTATTGAATTTTGCAAAAAGATTAGGAACTTTGACGAAAAAAATTACCAGCTCATGGTATGTTTCTAATTGAATAGTCTGAGGAAAACTTTTTTTCGAAAAAATGGTGGCGAATATTCTACAATTACAACCACAGTCAATAAAGATGGTGCTCAAATCTGATATATCTGTTAAACTTGGCAAAGGTCACTGTAGTGATGACACTCAACGTAGATCGGATTCATCAGACGCGTTGATAAAAAGAGAGTCACAAAATGCTAGCGACTTACTTTCACAAACCTGAAGAAGATAATCAGTATGAAACGTTCCCCATTCCATTAAATGAAGAACAAAATAAGGGGATATAGAGAGAGAGGGGAGAGGATAAAATGGGAAGGGTGAGAAAGAGGAGAGTAAGATACAGGAGGGGAGGGGAGGGAGAGAGAGGGGAGATAGAGGGAGAGAGAGAGGCAGAGATACCATATTTCTGTCTTGGTATTATATTTGATGAACATTTTTTATTTTAATTTAGTAGGTAACGACACGAAAAAAATAAAAAAAAATGAACAAAACATGTCGGATACAAAATGCAGATCTCTTCATTTCGTTGAGATGAGATCACGATGTCCTATATATATATATATATATATATATATATATATATTTCAGTAATTTTATTTAATTATGATTCTATTTAATTATTTTATTTATTAAAGTTTTAGGAAATATTTTTTGGAGGTATATTTCCTTCCACTTCTTATGTCTGGTGTGTACTTTGTAATTTCTTTTGTGAGTCGGTACACTTTTTTGTAGTTTGACAAGAAAAAATCCTCGAAGATATTATTTCAGTCAAAATTTATTCAATATCAAATGTCATCATTTGGAACTTTGTCCGGCATTTTTCCAAAGGAATCTAATAAATCAAAAATATTTTTGAGAATTGGTGTTTGAATAATTTGATAAAACAAGTTATTTTCTTTTCAGATTGAACAACGGTTAATTTATTTTTGGTATGGATGTACAAAAAAGACCATAATTTTATATCACGCATAGACTGACTATTATTCAAAATCGGAAGGTTATTTCAGAAATTGATCGATAAAAAAATCGATCAATTTTAATCGATTTTTTTTAATATTTAATTCCATTTAAAATTAAATTAAATTCAATTCCACATTTTTTGTCAACTTTGATGGTCGGAGAAATAAAAAAAATGACAACAAAAAAATATCTTGTAAAATCTATTTTTTTCATAGAATTATTAATTTTTAAATAATTATTTGTCTCGGTTTTATTACGAAAAATAAATATTTTTCTGTTTTATTTACCTGAACTCATATTGGGAAATCATTAAAACATTTACAAAAAATTTAGAAACGAAAATTTATTCACATCAAAAGAAAAAACTAAAACAATTTTAATTAAATTAATTTTATTTTTAAAATTAATTTTTTAATTTTCCATGAAATAAATAAATAAAAAAAAGAATTTTAATTAAAATAAATTTTTTAATTAATTTTGAAAATTTTTCATTAAATTTTCTCCGTCGTTTTCAAAACAAACAAAGAATATTTTTCCTAAAACAAAAAATCCAAGGAAAAATTAAAGATTCTTTCGAATTTGTACAGAACTTTTCAAATAAACTGAAAAATTCCTTCCTTGTTGCAAAAATAAAACTGACCAAATTTATCGGCATAAAAATCGAGAATATTTTTTCGAGTTTTGATATATTTGAAGAATTTAGCCATTTTGATCAATTTCAATCATTTCCGACATTCTCGTCTTGTCCCCCACAAATTCCCGGCCATCGGATCGGCGAAGGAGGGTCCAGAAATAAAACCCGACAACGGCGAATTTTTGTTGGATTCTTTTTATTTGATTTCCATCCTGAGAAAAACAAAGAATTTCTTTTTAAAATCCAAATCAAAAACGAAAATTTTTTGTTAATTTGACACAAAGAACAAAATGGCTTTTCGTTTGTTTTGATTATTTCTTCTTTTCAAAAATATGTTTTTTTTCGCGCCAAAACATTCTTGCTAACCCACACCACCACCCCGACCCCCAACCGGATCCCCACCTCGACCATCCAGCTTTGACCTAATACCCCACAAACAACGAAATTGTTTTGATATAGACATAAATGTCTACGGGTAAGAATCCTTCGTAATCAGGGACATAGGCCGAGGAATTTCCCCAGTCTCGCTGAATTCCTTTGATCGAACCGTAATTCCCATCGAGAACAAACATTGACTTAAATTGTATTTGTCGCTGACGATATTCGACAAAATCCTCTGCAGGTTAACCTGGAAGGCGGAATTCGCTTTCAAATTCCAATCTCTTGATGCCATGTTTTACCGTCTTAAAGTCATAACGATTATATTTTTGAAGCTGGTTTAATGATCGTTGGCAATATTCTGGAAAGGTCAATACAAAATGACCTTCCTCAACAGGAGTGAACGATTCGTGGAGCTGCCCTGAAAGCTCCGCCCCCAGAGGGGACACCAGAAACAACTTCTTTCGTCGTCGTTGCTGGCGGCAAATGAAATGGCGCAAACCAGGAGCAATTTTCCCGCCTAACTCCAAGAGATTTTTTTTCTTCGAGGATTACGGCGCCATTATATTTCTTCTTCACTCGTCTTTTCTCTCATTTGTTGCACAACCTGCGGCCTTCATCCTGGTTTTTCCAGAAACAAAATCGAATTCCTGCCAGACTTTGCAATTTCTTTCTTAATCGATTGATAATTGTTCAATCGATTTCTTTGTCCGTTCAATCCATTGACGGAGCCACTTTTCAAAATCTTCGACATCTTCCTGCAAATCGACGAGGCGCTTTTTTCGATTCTTTTATTTCTTCCAAAAGAGGAACTAATTTTTTTGATTTCGTTCAGGAAAAATGAAATCTGAAAATACGAAAGAAAAAAAAATCTTTTTTTAGAAAATAAAAAAAAGGTCAAAGTTCAAATCACATATAAATAAAAAAGGGGGGGGGATTAAGAGAAAAGAGAATGAAATATGAAAGAGTGGGGAACGGGGAAATACTGAGAGTGAGAGAGGAAAAATGAAATATAGAGAGAGGGGAGAAGGAAATATAGAGTGTGACAGAGAGAAGAAAAAGTGAGTGAAATCGAAAGAAACAAAGGAGATAGTGGTTATCGATGCAGAAATGAGAGAGAGAGAGACACGAAATTTTCGAGAAAGGAAGGAAAGAAAGGGTAAAAGTAACAGATAAAGAAAGATAAAGAGAGAAGAGAGATCCAATTTGTTGTCTTCACAATCACTTTTAACATTCAGATGTTAATTAAATTGCTTCTCTGTTTTAAATTCCTGGACATGATTTTTTCTCTTTCAAAAATGGCGCCTTTTTATCGATGCTTACGAAACGAATTTTTGTTTTATAATGACAAAATTGAATCCATTTTAAATAAAATGGTTCCACTCATTAACATATTTTTTTTTAAAAAGGGTCATTTTGGGGGACTTTGAAATATTTTGTTTTAACATTTGTTAAACTTTCAAAGCCATGACGATTAATGTGAAAAGAAAATGTTTTTTTTTTTACATTTCTAAAGGGGGTCCTGTTTATAATGTCATTAAAATGTAAAAATCGATCTATTTATCTATGTATATATGTAAAAACTGTGTGTGTGTATTAATATGCGCATATCTATAAATAAATCTATTTATCTATCTATCTTTCTATCTATCTATCTATCTCCCAACATCTTTTACCATGACTCATTTATCAATCTATCTACCTATTTATCTTTCTTTTTTATTCATCAAATATTCATTCATCTATCTATCTAAATCTATCGATTATCTATCTATCAAAATTCTGCACATATTCATCTATCTAATGTATCTATCTATCTTTATATATATATTTATATATATTCCAGCATCTGCTAAAGTTCATCTACATATATCTGAAAATCGATTTCATCCTGTGCTCATATATCTATCATATATTTCCATGTACATTATTTATCTATATATCCATGCATGTGTTTGTGTATTGTCATTTTAAAATTCCATCAACCTATTATCTATTTTATCTATCTATCTATTTGAAGGTTGCTCATATTCATCTATCTATCTATCTATCTATCTATCTATCTATCTATCTATCTATCTATCTAACTATAAATATCTATTATGTGTGTGTCTGTGTGTGTTTATTCTCATCTATCAAATCTATCTATCTATCTATCTATCTATCTATCTATCTATCTATCTATCTATAGATATCTATCTATATAAATGTATATTTACATCATATCTATATAATATTCAAAAATTCTTTCATTCATTTGATATCTATAAATCTATCTATCTATCTATCTATCTAGATATCTATCTATATGAATCATTTGCATTTATCTATCTATCTATTTATCTATCTTGGTATCTATCTATCTATCATAAATCTATCTACTTTTCCATGTATATTATCAATCAATATATGTACGTGTTCGTGTTTGTGTGTATTAGTCTGCTTTATATAATACATATCTATCTATCTATCTATCTATCTATCTATCTATCTATCTATCTATCTACCTATTTAGGACAATGCTTATATATATCTATCTATCTATCTATCTCATTTATATATCTATGTTATATATCTATCTCGGCCTCTGTTCCTATCTATATATGTATATCTATATATCTATGTAAATGTGTTTGTTTTTGTGCATTAGTTTATTCTATATCCATTCATCTATTTATCCCTAAATATGTTCATGTCATTATTTATCAATCTTATGTATTTTCGTAATCTTTTATCTATCTACCTATCTGCACTATCTATCTATCTATCTATCTATCTATCTATCTATCTATCTATCTATTTATCTATCTAGGTACCATTTTTAATCAATAACTGTATGTGTGTTTGTATGTGTATTTATGTGTGAATGTGTGTATTATCTACTCTATCTATCTATCTAGTTTAACTATTTAAAAAGGAAGGCAATTATTAACGATATATATATCGTTATCTATCTACCTATTAAATCTATATCTCATATCTATCTATCTATCTATCTATCTATGTATCGTGTGTATATAAGTTTATCCTTTCTGTCTATCTATCTAATTCAGTCTCAAATTCATATCTATCTATCTATCGATTTATTATCTCCATGTACATTATATATCTATATATATATCTATATATCAGCCTGTCCATTGTATGTGTGTGTGTGTGTGTGCTATGCATCTTATTTTTTTTACCTACCTATCTATATGTTCCAGCCTCGGGATTATATCTATCTATCTATCTATCGATTCTATGTACATTTGAACTGTCTGTGTATAAATGTGATCATACCTATTATATCTATCTATCTAAATATGTACATATCTGTATATTGCATCTATCTAAACCTATAATATCTATATATCTATCAATTCTATCTACCTATATATCTGTCTATCTATTTGTCTAAAAAAAATCTATCTATCTCTATCTTTATCTATCTATCTATCTATCTATCTATATATCTATTCCATTATCCATATATCTATCTATTCATTTTATTCCTCCTGTCTATCTATCATGAACATCTATCTATCTATCTATCTATCTATCTATCTATTCTGTGTTTTAATCTATCTATTTTAACTATATATCTATTTCCTATCTATAAAACTATATCTGTTTATATGTCTATATATTTATCAATCTATTTCATCTATCTGCTCATATCTATTCTATCTATCTATCTATCTATCTATCTATGTATTTATCTATCTATCTATCTATCTATCTATCTATTTATATACATCGGTTCATTATTTCTATTATATATATCTATCTATCTCTATAAATCCTATATCATATCTATCTATTACACAACATCTATCTATCTATCTATCTATCTATCTATCTATTATTATCTATTTATGTGTGTATAAGTCTATCTATCTCATTATCTATCTATCTATCTATCTATCTAGTCATCTATCTATCTATCTAAATAATTATTTTATTTATATCTGTATGTATGTATATCATTATCTATTTAATATCTAATCTTAAAAATCTATCTACTGTCTTTATATCTATCTATCTATATATATATATATTTAATATATATCTATCTATCTATTATTTATCTATCTAATCATCTATCTATCTATCTATCTATCTATCTATCTATCTATCTTGTCCACCCTGCTCATGAGAAAATCTATAAATCTATTTATTTATCCATGTATCATTATCAATCAATATGTTTGTAAAAATTGTATATATTATCTTCTACATTAAGTTCTACCTATCTATCTATCAATCTATCTATCTATACTCTATCTATCTATCTATCTATCTATCTATCTTATTCAGTAAATATCTAAATTCGTATCTATTTATCTATCTATCTATCTATCTATCTATCTATCTATCTATCTATCTATTTCATTCTATCTAATATATCTATCTATCTATCTATCTATATATCTATCTATCTATATATATATTATATTATATATCGATCTATCTATATATCTATATATCTATCTATCTATCTATCTATCTATCTATTTCAATTATATATATATCTATATATTCAATATATATCATTATTTTATATATCTATCTATCTATCTATCTATCTATCTATTATATCTAATTCTATCTATCTATCTATCTATTATTTATCTATCTATCTATCTTCTAATATCTGTCTATCTACCAATATTATCTATCTATCTATCATGTATTATCTATTATGTCTATTATCTATCTATCCAAATATAGGTATCTATATATTATCTATCTATCTATCTATCCATCTTTTGCAGCTTCTTTCATTTCAATATCATTATCTAAATATCTATCCATCTATCTATCTATTATATCATATCTTATCTATCTATCTATCTATTTTCATTCTGCCTATTCATCTATCTATCCTTATATTTAATCTATATCTACATTAAATATCTATCTATCTATCTAGGTACAATCTATCTATTATCTTCCATTTCTATCGATCTATCTATCTATCTATCTATCTATTAAATATGTAATTCCTTTCTATCTATCTATCTATTATCTATCTATCTATCTATCTATATATCTATCTATCTATCTATCTATAATCTCTTTCTGTTTTATCGATCTTTCAATATATATATATCTATATATATATATTATATCAATCGTATCACAATCATATCTATTTAAATAATATATATATATCTATCTATTCAAATTATATATATCATATATATATTATTTATCTATTATATTTATGTATTCATTATATATTATCTATCATACGTATCAATCTATTTCAATCTATATAATATCTATCATCCGTTATCTATCTCATCTATCTATCTATCTATCTATATATATATCTATCTATAATCTATCTAATTCAGACTGCATCTATTTTATTATCTATCTATTTAAAACATATATATTAAAATCAATTTAAATATCTCTAAATCTGTGTTTTCTCCTAATAAAAATATATCTAAATATCTCATATATCTATTTATTTATTTATTGTTATTTATCCTATCTGCTCATCTAAACATATCTATCTATATATCTATCTATCTATATATCTATCTATTCATTCTATCTATCTATCTAAAAAATATCTATCTATATATCTATTTAAATATCTATTTATTTAAAATATTCATCTATCTCTTTCTGTCTATCTTTTTATCTATCTAAAAATATATATTATCTATCTATCTATCTATCTATCTATCTATATAAATCTTTATTTCATTACATCTATATGTCTATTATCTATCTATCTATCTATTTATCTATTTAAAATCTTATTCAGTTCTATCTATATATTTATCATTTTCTTTATCAAATCCATCTATGAATTTAGGTCACATGCTGATATCTATTTAATATCTATCTATTCAAATATCTATCTATCTATCTATCTATCTATCTATCTATTCTTATCTATCTATCTATCTATCTATCTATCTATCCTACCAAAAGATTTCTAATTACATCTATCTATCTAAAAGCAAAATATTAATACCATTTATCTATCTATATTTTTATCTAAAAATCTATCTATCTATCTATCTATCTATCTATCTATCTATTTTCATAAAATCTATAATTTCTATTAAATCAATCTATCTTTCTACATGTCATATCTACCTACCATATCTATATATATATTTATATATTTGAAACATATCATTTCATAAGATATCTATCCAATAAATATCTATCTATATATTTATATATATATATATATATATCTAATTATCTATCTATCTATTTATCTATCTATCACATCTATCTATCTATCTATAAAATATTTCTAAGTTATATATCTATCTAAGTTTCTCCAATCTCGATATATATATATCTATCTATATATTTCGTTAAATATATATCTATCTATCTATCTTTTAAACAACTTTTATATATATATATCTATATATCTATCTATATATATTTATATATATCTATCTATCTATCTATCTATTTATCTAAATTCCTATATCTATCTATCTATCTATCTATATATATCTATCTATCTATTTATCTATATATATTCATTTATTTATTTTCTATCTATCTATCTATCTATCTATCTATCTATCTATCTATATATATATATAAACTATATATAATATATATTTTATTATATCTATATATTTATATATATCTATCTATCTATCTATCTATCTATATATCTCTATCTATCTATCTATCTATCTATTATGTATATTTATCTATCTATCTATATATCTATCTATCTATCTATCTATCTATCTATCTATCTATCTATCTATCTATCTATATTATCTATCTATCTGATATCTATCTATCTATCTATCTATCTATCTATCTATCTATCTATCTATCTATCTATTTATCTATCTATCTATCTATCTATATTTTCTATTTATATATCTATCATATATATATATCTATACTTTATATATCTATCTATCTATCTATATATCTATATATATATATATCTATATATTAAATTATCTATCTATCTATCTATCATATCTATCTATGAAAATCTAAAAATATCTATCTATCTATATCTATCATCTATCTATTATCTATATATATATATCATATATATATATATTGATATATCTAATTTCAACATATTATATCTAATTTTTTTTTAAACTATTTCTATTATATATCTATAGAATCTATCTATCTATCTAAATATTTATCTATGTAATATAATTATCAGAATCTATCTATTCATTATTATCTATATATCTATATAATCTAGATATATATTTATATATGAATATATATCTAAATTAATCCAGAAATATTATATATATATCTATCTATCTAAATACTTGAATAATCTATGTATTAGTATATATTTAGATATAAATCTATCTATCAAAATATATACATATCTATATATCTATCTATATATAATATCTATCTATCTATCTATCTATATATGTATATCTATTATATCTATATAAATCTATATATATATATATATATATATATATATATATCTACAAATATCATATATATATATCTGTTTGTTTTGAAAGTCTATTTCATAATATCATATTTATATAAATTTATATATTTATATTTTTATTAAATCAATTTATCTATCTATAATTTATCTAAAATAGCATATATATATATATATATATCAAGATATATATATATCATATCTAACAAATTTTTATTTCATTTCTATTTAAATAATTTATATCAAAAAATATAAAAAATCCCATATTGTAAAAGTAGATCATATATATCTGTTTATTTCTATCTAAATATATATCTATCGATTATATATAAAAAATATATAATATCTATATATATAGAAAATCTTTTACACAATAATCTATTCTTTAT